TTATATCTATCAAGTAACTACTTATTTCGTACCGCGACGACCTTAGACAAACAGCTACCGGAATCATTTAGCAGCATTAGAACGTATTGAACAAGTGTAAATGGAGTAAATAAACAAGAGATAATAAGTACGGAGATCAAAACCTCGCCGTACAATGTGAACGTCCTACAATGTTATTAATATAATTTTAAATTGCGCGTGAGTCAGTGCAGCGCGCACGCGCTCGTGGTACGAGTAGGTACTCACTACGTTGAGTCGCGTGCGTGGAGGCGCGCGATTGTCGGAACTTAGGATGTATACACACCAACAACAATCCTCCATTAGAATAAAAAGAAAATCATATTTGTAACCGAACGAAAACACATTGGTATAATTAATAAAATTGCTGTTTAAATTCTTGTGTGTATATTCAAAATTCAAATAGATTTAATTTATTAAGCGCTGCATATTGTGTTCTTTAAAATATGTAATACATTATGCTTTAACTTTTATTAAACACAATTTTTATAAAAAAATGTATAAAGCAATTTAGTAATGTGTTGATCTGAATTATATTCACACATATAACATCTGTACTCGTAGAACATAAATATAAATAAGTGTATGAAAGAAGCTTTATACTACGTGACCAAAAACGACAGCAGTTCACAAAGAGTTCCGTTCACCTTATTCACCAAACAATATAGTTTTAACGGAGTCATTTATCATTTATGACAAGGAAACCATTCACTAAGTCTTCAGCGTTCAGTTTAATTATATAAGCAAACACCAAGGTCAAAATTTGTATGAAATTAATTTACATTTTAGGTTTATGATAATTGCTATGTTCATATTAGGTACGTATTTACTTGTCTTTTTAGTATATATAATGTAACCTTGACGTTTCTAGTTCCGATTCTACCTTGAATTTGCAGGCTAGAGGTTAAGTTATGATGCGTACTCGGGAGACGAATTTGTAACTTATGTTCATGTAATGCTCTATTGTAGGAGAGAGTCTCTTTGAGACTCGGAGATAACCTGAGTTTATTAACCTCAAATATATTCATAAACTATAGCAAGAATCAAGTTACAAAAAAACTTACTGAACACTTGTGCAAAGTGTGACTGCTAAGTATTTCTACCAGTATCTGTGCAGTATCTGGCAGTCGGTCTGTGATATATAGGTCATCAACTGTAATATGAACTAATTCATGTAGGTAGTTCACAAAATTTTATGGATGGGTTTGCTAAACTATCTGTATGCCTACATGACATGACATTAGTCAAAAAAAAGCTGCACTGAGTCGTTTAGTTTCTCTATGTTCTATCCAATGGCCGCAAGTCGGCACGACCGAAGTCGCGCGACATCGCTTTCACGATGCTCGAGCCCTAACAAAAAAAAATCCTCCCTTCCTTTATATTGTAATTAGCCTAATTTATCAAATATACACAAGGAAGGGGGTAAACTTCAGGCCTCTTAATCGACCAAAAAGCACACTGGAATTTTTTTCTACGAAGTTATACGTTTTTTTTTGTTTTAATTTACTTTGTCTTATTAGAATGCTCCCATACATCGATATACGTCAATGTTAATTTTTAAATGCAAAACCTAATGTTTTAGTTATAGAAATACCTATTTTATATGATACTATAGCCGTACCCCGACACGCTTCGCTGTGGCACATTGTGACAAATCGGTGCCGAACTTTTTGAGTTTTAGAAGTTTTTTCTTAACATTTTATGTTTTAGATTGTTTTCCTAAACTTGTCTGTGAGAAGTTGCTTCTTGCCAATTTCGTGATTCTATGCGCTTACAGGTAAATCAGAACCTTTAAGGGAAACGTAAAGGCTCTGATTTACCTGCGAAATGTTAATATTATTATCATTATTAATTTATGTGTTCATGTGATGACGAATTAAGAATACAAAGTGACACCCCCCGATGCATGCCGTGGATGTCGTAAGAGCCGACTAAGGGAACAAACTTCGCAGGACAACAGCACTGCAAAGACAATACCGTTGGTATTGTCTTTGCAGTACTGTTGTCCTGGGTTGCCATCTGGCCAGCGTGGTATATTAGGCCAAAACCTCCTTTCTAAGGAGAGGCCTATGTCCAGCAGTGGACTATTAAAGGCTGGTAACGATGATTAATTTATGTTTTCAATCATAGATGACAATTAAAGATATCGATCGCTCGATAAATATCGACTGCACGGATGACGTAGTGGTTTAAGCGGTCGCCACGCCGCTTCCTAATTCGCTGAGTGTTGTGGGTTGGAATCCCACATGAGGCGACACTTTGTGTGGTCCACTAATTGTCGTTCTGAGTCTGGGTGTTCTTTGTGTCCCTGGTTTCCCAGCTACTGGTATAAAAAATACAAAACAAATCATTGATAAAGTTAGTTCTATAATAATTAAACTGTTCACATGCCGTAAACACATACTTAAAACCATTTCATGCGTTTTTATAAGTATCTCTTTCAAAGGCTTGTGCAAGAATTTTTGATTATGTTACTACTGAGGCAGGCCTTAGTTCAGGACTCTTCTTATAGTAATGTTATCGCTTATTACTGACTCCACCTAACATTACATCGTTTGAATACTTTAGTAGTGCAAAGTTTATTTTAAAGCTTAAGTGCAGTTTATAGGTTTGACTGACCTGTTGATCTAGTGGTCAGTGACCCTGACTGCAACGTCAGAGGTCGTGAGTTCGATTCACACCCAGGACACAGGATATCTATTGTGGTCAAAGGCTCAACTATTACACCAAATACGTCGTCGAATAAGGTAGTGTATGTTGGGGGGAAGGTTACTCCAGAGGAGGGGTCCATGTGGGAAGGTAACCAGTTATCAGCAGGTAACCAGTTTGCTCGTTTGTCCCATTTGTTCGAATTTTTCTATTTGAACTAGTACTTCCTGAGATTAGCGCGTTCACCCCACCCTAACAAATAAAAAAACAATTCGCCTTCATAATTTTAGTAATTTTGATTCGATCTATAAACAATGTTTTAAATAAAAAAAGTTAAGTTGGGCCAACTTACATTAGTGTAAGAAATATTTAATTTTATTATCAGTCCCAAAAGAAATACTGGATATGAGTGCTGGTAACCGTTTACCAGTAATTACTCGCCGAACCTAAAACTAATGTACTTGCATATAAATTAAATTTTAATCTTTTCTCTATACTAATTTAAAGACTTGTTGGACTAATAAACTGTGTAAGTCCTTTTAGTATAAAATTGTCTGTAATAGGATGAGGTACACTAGAAATTAAACTTAACGTACGTAATATCCATCTTTATAAGGATAAATCATCGATATTAAACAAAATTCCAACTTATTACGGAAATTGGACGACCACAGGCCAGGTGGAGTGACGATTTGCGCAAGATGGCAGGAGCAGGCAAGAGCTGGATGCGAGAAGCCGAAAATCGATCAAAGTGGCGTAAAATGGGAGAGGCCTATGTCCAGCAGTGGACTGCGATAGGCTGATGATGATGATTACGGCATACTGACTGCACGGATGGCGTAGTGGTTTAAGCGGTCGCCACGCCACTTTCTATTGCGCTGAGTGTTGTGGGTTCAAACCCCATATGGGATAACACTTTGTGTGATCCACAAATTGTTGTTCTGAGTCTGGGTGTACTTTGTGTCCGTTTCATGTATGTTTGTAGGGTCCCCCGCGACACAGGATTTATTCCTAGTGCGGGAGTTGTCTTTTTATAATATCAATATCATATCATATCAATTAATATTTTTTTAGAAATAACAATATGCTTACTGCATTACTTAGAAGCTGAATTAATATATAAATTTGTACAAGAGCAAATCAGTGAATAAAATGATTTCTTTATAATTTCGGACACGATTTTATGTGACTTAATAATAATCGTATTATTTAATTTAATGGTATAGCGAATTATATTTAATATAAGCACACCTATTCGGATTCCTGATATCTTTTGTGCATTTTGACTTAAGTTTATTTGAGTAACAAAGATTATTAGACTATTTTTTTTATTAAAGACAAGTTTTGAGTTAGGGATTTTACAAACATTCATTCTCACGGACACAAAGAACACTCAGACTCAGAACAACAATTTGTCGATCACACAAAGTGTTGTCCCATGTGGGGAATGACGTCGCAGATGACACCCGCCAACTCCTGCGTACACTCTGCATAGTAGGAAGCGGCGTGGCGACCGCTTAAACCACTACGCCATCCGTGCAGACAAGTTACTGATCAGTCTTAGCATACTAGATATGCGAATGGTTGTAGGAACTATAACAGGACACCTAGTCCTGAACCGACAACTATTCACCATTAATGCGACGGACAGTCCTCTTTGTAGAGGATGCCTGAAAGCAGACGACCGCTCACGGATTCCTGGAATGCAAGGGAGTGGCCACTCTCGAATCTAAATGTGGAAATCGGAGCCCACAACCAAAACCCATATGGGGATCAAACCTACAACACTCAGCGCAGTAGAAAGCGGCGAGGTGTTCGCTTACACCACTACGCCATTTGTGTAGTTAATAATATTATTAATAGTACCTAATTTTGACCTAAAGATTATTTTATTAGACCCCTTTTATATGAAAAAGAACTCTTTGATATCTTGGAAATTTATCGAAGCGTGTAATCCATATCTTAGAACAGACCTAACACTGAATATTTTTGCGATACTGTTTACGATAAGTACTTTTTCTTAAAAAAATTAAATTTTTAAAAAGTAGGCAAATTTTTTTTTAGACATGAATATTAACAGACTTTATTAATGAATATAATTACTTCTTTAAATGTCTTTACATACTAGGTTTCTTCAATTTTGGACAAAGTATTTTTTCTAACAAAATTAATAAACATAAATCCAGATTAAAGAGAACGGCGGCAATTTCCAGGTAAACATCGTAGCGATTTTATGGGAGCTTATGTAGAACTTAGTCTCATTTAGTCAATAATACCTTTGCTACCAAGTAACTTTGAGTCGCTACTGTTTTGTTGTGTTGTGTGCGTGGCGCATGCGCTGCTGGCTACCGGCCGCCGCGCTGTGGCGGCCGACGAGCACTTATCATCGAAGGTTTGATGTGAGCGCGCCTCCTCGCTGCCGTGCGCGAAAATCAGTCGCTAATATTAGCACGCGACGTCGCGCGCCTGACTGTGTACCACGTCGGCTGAACGCTCAGCGCTGCGCCGCGGTGGTTTTCCGGGCGAGGTCGCGCAGGGCGGGCGGCGCGCGCCGACGCGCCCCGGGCACCCTGCCTCTCAATACAATATCTACCACCCACACAACAGGACGTTTCTTAGCTGAAAATTTTAATTCCATTAAAATTATTATATTGTGTTCGGTGAAGTGCAGTATCTGAATTTTTAAAGTCAGGAAAATGTATTGGTTTTCGTTTGGACTTGTGAGTCGTTCCTGAAATGTGAAGAATTCGGTGTCTGTTGAGAAGATTGGTGCTCGTCATAACAGGTAATAAAATTGTTTTGTTGTGATTACGTTTTACTTGCTTTTGTTATGATAACGGTGTATATTGAAAGCAAAACTGCAACAATTATTGGAATGTAAATTATTATAATTACGGTTCTGAAATATAAATACTTGACTTCATGTATAATGATTACTTAGGCAGAAGTACAGAGGTGATATGAGCAGCTGGATACACAGTAGCGCAGTGTTTGTCTATCATACTACTTATTGTAATTGCTGGTGGGAAGTAACACTTGTTGAAGGCACCTGTTCGACATATTGTGCATATTAATATGTTTAGTAACGTTTCAGATGCGCGCCACAAGGTGTACACAATAAAAACTCTGGAACATTGAAAATATTTTTAAATACCAATTGGTATTACAGATTACCTACTTTTTTATTGTACCTAACCCAAATAAAACATTTAAATCAGATTCATCGTCGGTAAACTCATCTTTCAGGAATGGCTTCCGATTAGATCGATTTCACATATAGATAACTGTTATAATAAAAATAACACAAAAAGAAGTTTGTAAGAGATACTCATAAAGTTCAAGAATACGGGGTAAAATGCCAATATTCTTTTATTCGTTTTAAATGCACATATTATTTTCAATTGCTTAAGATATGCTCAACAGCTGACAATCTGAAAAAAAGCTATATTAAACCACTTCCAAAATTTCCAATCAAGCAGTTAAATGCGCTGGAAAAGTGTTTGCTTACTTTTCTGTAATTCTTCCTATAATCCTTTGCTTTTTTGGAATGTACCTTGAAAAAACAGTTGTCCCAGAGCATCGTTTCTAGCTGGATCGACATGCTTGCGGTGTAACTTGAATCAGTCAGACCGCTCCAATCCAGACTGAAATCTGCTGTACTATAGCAATATATGATTACGCTTATAACGCTTAAAGTGTGTTGTACTTAAAAACAATGTCAGCAACCTATACCAGGCAAAATATAAACGAACTTACTATTTAATAGAAAACATCAGTCCAACAAACTTGTACATCATGTGTTTAACTATTAACCACAATAAAAATTCCAAACCAAACACCAGATAAATAACTCTGTAAATAAAATGACGGTATGAGTATATTTATACACAACGAGTAATACCGCTAACATTATTCATATTTTAAAACGATTGCTCTTATTGGCATATCTCCAATGATTTGAATCATCACGAGGAATCGGCGCACATTCAAACGTTCCGCGAATGCATAATTACCTAAACACCTGAATAGCAACGACATACTGTATTCGTTTCATATTGTGTCCGTTCTGAGAAGACGGGTAAATCTGTCAAAGATGGTGCGTAGTCACTTAGGCAAAGGGACTTGGTCATCTCAGTTTTCAACTGAGTCAGTTTAACCATTTCATTCTGAATAAAAACTAAACGGTTCAGCACAAAAAGCTAGACCCTACTAGTATCTACGCATAAAATAACTATCCACACAATTATATAACATAAACCTGTAGGGTATATTAAAAAAAATAAAAAAACAATTAGGTACCTACGCATTGCAGAGATCATTACAACAGAAAAATAAAATAAGCGACAATGATAATACTATAAAATTACAAGATGTTTTCATTTCAATCACGCCATTAAAAACAGATGGCATAAGTCTTATTTTAGTCCTAATAAAATAAAGGAAAAATCTCAATGTTCTTTGTAATATTATAAACTATTAAACTTTTAATAGAAATGTAGAACTAAGTTCATAATAGCCGTATTCAGCAACTTTCCAGATAGTTCCATAATTAGATCTTAAAGGATAATAGCACTTGATAATACAAATTTAACGAGCTCGAATCCGTCAAGGCTTTTAGTTGTGTATTAAAACAAACCCTTCTGCTCTGTTAAGTAAACAACCTGTAGAGCAGGGGTTCCCAAACTTATAAGTATCACGCCTCCCTACTGCTTAAAATTAATATGCCCACGCCTCCCCTCGGCCCAGAGCCCAGGAAGTAGCAGCAAGTGGGCTCGCCAAACAATTGTAAAATAAAATAAGGGTAGGTATAATATACAAGGTTATTCCTACTTGATGCGAAACCTATAATAAATAACAGAATAACGTTGTATAATAAAATAAAGTCCACAAATACATTTTCAGATGTTTTATTATAAAAATATGGCTTTTACACACTTAGGAAGAATCAATGTGACGGATGAGCTTGCATAGTTTTCACCAGATTTCCAATTCTGGGTTAAATGGAAGAAAGTGCACAACGTAGATCACTAGCAATATCTAATTTGCTTCTATACTTTGTTTTTATTGCTACAACTGCTGAAAATGCTTTTTCGCACAAATAAGTGCTTGAAAAAGGTAAAAAAAAATTTAGTGCCTGCTCTGCGGTGCTGGGATAAACTTTGAGATATTTAACCCAAAATAGTGCCTTATCCATCTTCTCAAAATCATATTGGGCAGCAGAATCATTTTTGATTTCTAATGCTTGCTCTTGTAATGTATCTGGCAGCATGTCTTTGTCGACGTGAAAAGGATCGGTCGCTAATCGGTACATAATATTATTGCACGAGTCGGGAAAGTAGCGCTTGAATTCGTCCGTAAGGTGCTGCAAATGGTTTGATATTTGATTCTTGGTATCAATTACATCCAAAATCTCCTTAAAGCACGCTTCTTCTGTGATCGCAAATAATTTAGGAAAGCAGGAATAGTTAGACGCCAAAATTTTGCGTTTCCACAGTTGCAACTTCTCAGTGTATGCTGTGATAGCATCCCGATGATAAATTATGTTCGAGTCTCCGCCTTGTAATTTCAAGTTTAAAGTATTCAATGAATCAAAAATGTCTGATAAATAAGCAAATATTACTTGGACCCATGGTTTTTTAAATTCCACAAACAATTCAGTTTGTTTTTGAATGTCTAAAAACTGAATGACTTCATCTCGCAGTTCAAACAATCTTGTCAACATATTTCCTTTTGAGAGCCAGCGCACTTCTGTATGAAATAACAATGTCTTGTGTTCTGTGCCCAAATCTTCACAGAGAGCCGCAAAAAGCCGAGTGTTTAATGCACTCTTTTTAATGTAATTTACAATTTTAATGCATAATTTTAAGACGTCATAGAGTTCGTTTGGAAGTGTTTTAGCTGCCAAGGCTTGACGGTGTATAAAACAGTGAATAGTAATTACGTTGGGATTTTTTTCTTTGACCAACTGTACGAAGCCTGAACGAGATCCAAGGATTGCCGGAGCACCGTCTGTGCATACGCCTATCAACTTTTTCCATGACAGTTCATGTTTATCAAAAAAATTCAGAGATTGCTGTCATTATATCAATTGCTTTCGAAGTTGTCGTTAACTCTGTTGAAAACAGCAACTCGTCTTTAATTGTTTCGTTTTGTATGTATCGGACAAAAACTAGCAGTTGACAACATTGCGCAACATCTGTACTCTCATCCAACTGTATTGCAAAAAAACATGATTCTTTCACGGCCTCAACTACCTGATTTTTTATATCTTCAGCCATATCATCAATGCGACGTTTAACAGTGTTGTCAGAAAGAGGTATTTGTGAAAATTTTTGTTTAGTTTCTGGTCCAAGAATGATATCAGCAGCTTTCAGTAAGCAGGGTTTGACGAGTGTTTCGCCGATAGTATGACTTTTTTTGGCCTTTGCAATGAGTAGCGACAATTCATATGATGCTTCGAGCACTTTCTCAGATGACTGAGCAAAGGATCCAGTACTATCCAATTTCATGCGCTTCAGACTTGCAGATTTTGAAGCAAAAAACTCCTTCGGCTTGTCTTTTAAAGCACTGTGTTTTGTTGACAAATGTCGTTCCAGACGCGAAGGTCTCATGGCATCATTGCTCAATACTTCATAACAAATAACACACTGCGGCTGGTCGATACCACTTTTATTCATAGCAACAAAACCGTATTTAATATAATCATCATTATATTTGCGTTTTTTGGCCGAGCTCATGGTGAAACAAAAGAAATAACCGTTCACTGTCACTACTCTCTAACACACAATAGCGAGTCGCTTTGAAACAAAAGTACACGTGTTCACAAGGCGCAAGCGGCGCAGGGAGTGAGGAGCGTGCGATACGTATGCGCGCGAGCGACCGCAGTGATAACCGCCGCCCGCACCTGCGCCCCCCTGTAGATGTCTTCGCGCCTCCCTAGTGGGGCGCGCCCCCCACTTTGAAAATCAATGCTGTAGAGTATCCATTGAACAGATATTGATTTAAATGGTTGAAATAACTATTTAAACTCGTAGATTGTATAGTAGGTATATTAAAAATGCATAATTATATAATTTAACGTATTTGGATGTAACGTCCTGCAAATATATTCCGGCAGAACATTGGCCATAGGGCTTATAAATATACTTGCATATGAATATGAGCGGGTGTGCGTCTGCGCACTCCTATTGCACGCCACTTCGATCGGTTTTCGGCTTCTCGCATCCAGCTCCTGCCTGCCATCTTACGCAAATCGTCGCTCCACCTGGCCTGTGGGAGTCCTACACTGCGTTTGCCGAGACGCGGTCTACACTCAAGAACTCGTTTATCCCAACGGTTGTCGGTTCTGCGGCTAATGAGTTTAGTTTATTGTAATCGTGAAATCTTATACCAAAAAAAACACTGAACGAACTTTTCTTCTTACCATGGTGGATATGAACATTCTTGTATACTTATAATTGGCCTAAATTTAATCTCGCAAATAAACTTTGATTTCAAACTTTGTCATTCTCAAGTAGCCTTGTCTTTCTCCATCAGTTTTCAGTCGATCAAAATTGGTTTAGAGGTTTAGACGTGGAAGCGTAACAAGAAGAGGTTGTTAGTTAGTTTATACTGACACATATTACACATCATTATCTAGATCCAAACTAAGCACAGCTTAACACGAATAAATGTGCTTAAACATTTTTGTGGATATAGATATATGATAATTCTATAAATACTTGTAGGTATTTGTGTAGGTATATTCGTATATTACATATGTATTTGTAATGTGCAAAAGATATTCATTTAAAATGCATGTGTGCTACATTTGCACTGAGCAGCATGTAAACACGGGATATCTATTGTGGCCAAAGGTTAAACCATTACACCAAATTCGTCATTGAATCAGGTAGTGTATGCTGGGGGGAGGGTTACTCTAGAGGAAGGGTCTATGTGCGAAGGTAGTCAGTTATCAGCAGTTAACCGGTTTGTTAATTTGTCCCATATGTCATAAAAATGCAATTGCATATAAAAATAAGTATCACGCCTTTTTCGGCCAAAAGAAGTGAGTACAAAAGTAGGGCATGGAAATTTATTGAGTCATCTTGGGTATTTTAGATTGCAACGGGTCTGTTGGTCTAGTGGTTAGTGACCCTGACTGCTAAGCCGGAGGTCGTGGGTTCGATTCCCACCCAGGACAAATATTTGTGTGATGAGCACGATCGTTTGTTCTGTGTCTGGGTGTAATTTATCTATAATATGTATGTATTTAGAAATAAATAAGTATGGTTATCAGCAGTCTGGTTACCATAGTAAAGACTCTGCCTAGTTCTGGATCAGACTGCCGTGTATGTGAGATGTATGAGGTTATTATAAAAAAAAAAATATTGTTAATATTGTATTGGAACTAAGAATTCATTAAGTATTCAAATCAATATAAACGCTTAAGGAGCCGGTTTTACGGTGCAGGGAATAATTTGTTTTGGGCATTAAAGTTCATACTTGAACAGTATTAGTATATTGAGATGTCATGGCATGGAAAATATATGCAATGACAATTTAACAATCTATTATATAATTTATTTTATTAATAAATAGTTACTTTCATCAAAGGAGGAGCCATGCTTAACCACATATGGGCCAGGTTCGACCGGAGTGATATTCACAGAAATCCAATGTTAAGCAGTTCTCAGGACTCGAACCGACTAAAAACCGAACGTCGTCTCCAGGTACCAGTAGACAGGAAACCAGTTATTCGTCTGATTATTCTCTCCTGATTCTCGTTTGCCCCTCTATACCATAGCAAAAAGCTAAATTTAAGTTTTATATATGTCAATAGAATAAGAAAAAAACTGTATTTTTTTGATAGATCTCTAGTACTAATAATATTGTTTGTCGTGTATCTTAGAAATAAAATATGTTTTCTTTCTTTCTTTCTAATAAATAAATGTGTTTAATAAATGTTGTCCTGGTTAAGAATGAGATACTGCAGGTCATTAATGCAAACGTAAACTGAACTAAAAGGAAAACGTAATCTTATTCAATTTCATGTGTATAATAATATACCTAAGTATATTATAGACTATACAATACTTTATCAATATGCAGGTTTTTGTTATTATTAATTTAAAAGTAATATTTTGTGCCATGTTATTTCCCTAACTTCAACCAAGTATTGACCAATGTTGATTTCACTTTGATTCAGTTTATTTTTATTTTTACTTATGTTGTTTCCCATAAAAAAAACATTATTTTGGTACCTCTACCTATACAGAGGTAAAAAAAAAACTGCTAATAAAAACAAAGCAAAGGCCTATGCCCAGGGCCGCCGCTAGCTGTTTGAGCGCCTGCGTGCAATGCCGATGAAGTCGCCCTTTTTTTCCATGCGGAAATCGCAATTCGAACCCCCAACGGACAATCGGTGGGGTGGTAATGAACTTTATTTCTTATAAAGTTCTTTTTATCCTTATTTCACTAAGTTTAGAAATCATATTATGGGATGAATAGGTGTAGTAACACTCTGTATTCTTAATCCGTCACCACAAAGACAAGTGGGTGAGTCACATAGCTCACAGGGTTATGATCCCTCCATCGGAATTAAGGGCGGAAGCGTTTTGACCCTGGTAACCTCACTCACTCGATGAAAAGCAAGAGAAGATTTGCTTAACACCAGTTTTCTGTGAAGCCGCGGTATCAATCCGGTCAAGCCGATCTATTTATGCTGAAGCAAGCTTTCCCATGGAAGCATGTCTTTTCTACAAGGTACCAGTTCGTATTTGTTTCTTTTCATCTTCAGCCAGGACAGCTATTAATACTAAATCCCGGTCAATAATAACGACACAACGAACTCATGACATAACATGCGCAGTAATAGTGTAACAGGATTAAGCCGACCCATAATTGCCCGAACGTAAAACTATCGCCCGGTATGGTATATTTTGGAATCTGACCGACGTCTTGAGTGATTCAAAATTTTCACACCTACATACGTTTAATAAAGTAATTCGAGGCTTATAGACGTTTGCATTTATTTTCGTACACCGATCAATAGATGGTACTATTATGACATAATAAAATATATTAGACATGCAAATTATAAGAATGCTTAATTTTTGTTTCGATCTCTGTTTTTGCCGCCCCTTGAAAATGCCACCAGTGTGCAGTGCGCGCTCTGCACACCCGTATTCGGCGGCCCTGCCTATGCCTTTGCTTTGGTTTTTATTAGCACTTCTTTTAATTTGTTGTACAACTGACTGTACTTAAAACTAGCAATTTAAATAGTCGCTTTGTATATAGGTAATATGAAAAAAAAACAGTCTAAGTGCGAGTTTGACTCGCGCACTGAGGTTTCAGTTCAAGTCTTAAATCCTCCATACACGAAATATATTTATTTTGTACTACACAACCTCAACGTAGACTGGCAGAGAATGCCCATCTCATTAAGTCCACCTTAATGCATTCAGTTAATTTAAAAAAAAAAACATTTAACGATTTTCGTGAAAACCCTATAGCTTATCATTTGCCTGCAATGTGTTAAAATGTGACCGCGATAGAGACATGCTTCATCACATACTATTCTTTATTATTACATACGGGCTGGCTCAACCGAAGTAATCCAGGGCCTCACACAAAACCATATCATATCACCGAGTGAGTGAGGTTAACGAAGGTCCGTCCCCGGTCTGGTCTTTAGTGTCGCCGTCGTCGGGAAACACAAAAGACTCATAACGTACTTGTAACTCTTTGACTGCACGGATGGCGTAGTGGTTTAAGCTGTCGCCACGCCGCTTCCTACTGGGCTGAGTATCGTGGGTTCGATCCTCACATGGGACACCACTTTGTGTGATCCACAAATTGTTGTTCTGAGTCTAGGTGTTCGTTGTGTCCGTTTCATGTATGTTTGTAAAGTCCCCGCGACATAGAATAATATAATTCTAATGCGGGCGTTGTCTTAAAAAAACAATAAGTAGCAGGTGCCTAGGAACGGCTGAAGTCACTTACCATCAGATGACCAGTATTACCCAAAATTTCATAAAAAAGAATTTGTTTAAAATATAGTTGATTTACATTTTTATTATTATTAACATTGCATTAACATAAAACTAGATGTCATTGGTATAACTTAATGGTGTGGTGTGTTAGATGTCGGCAAATATTACTATTATTATATAGTAGATTGAGCTTAATTACAGCTTTACGGGATCACAGACAGTATTAATTATTACTTTTACCTTGACTTATTCTCAGGAACTTCCTGAGGATAAGTGTTTTGACGCACATACAGACAGACGTACAACGAAGTGATTCTATAAAGGAATGGATGTAAGGATCCTATTGATGGTATGGAACTCTAAATCAACAAACATTGAGAAGAAACCATTAACATTTTCACACCGTCTGCTGGATGAACATCGTAAATAAGACGTCCGCGATTACTGTATTTGTAGCGGAGGTACATAGATAGGTATAATAATTAATGTGACTGTCTAGACAGTTTTCTTTAATGTGAATGACCCTGGGGGCTGTTCCTGGGGTAACTATATATATAATTTTTTTATTCCCTTGCTTTCAACCTCCTTAAGGTTAGGTTATTGACACAAATATTTTCGAGTACAAAATTCACCGTAACTGTAAAATAATTCTTCTTTATGACATCACATTAGGGAATCTAATACTCTGTCTGTGTATTTGATTGATGAGTCATATTTACAAATGAGGTAATCAAGATAGATTGGTAGACCTGTAGTGGATGATC